AAGAGTGGAGTGACATCACATGTCCAACAAAATGATGACATTTTAAACCTAAAAATATGCTATTGTCATTACGGCTTAATCTTTTTTTAAAGTCTCTAAACTGCAGTCATACATTTGTCTGGTCAAGATTACTACATAACCTTTCCACACATGGAAAATTAAAGAATAGCTGTGAGCAGTGCTCAAAGACCTACAGCTACACTGAGACAGTATAAGTTCTAAATGGTGGCAATTCAATACCACTCCTGCGAGCGGTGTACATAGCCTCTTTCCTTCTCATCTCTCTCACTTGGAAATCTTTGCATCCAGCTTCTTTCCCCACCCCTCCCTAAACCCCGAGAGTCTGCCAGCGGTCCAAGGTAATTAAATTACTTAGCAAAGTTTACTTAACAGTAAATGGTTAGCAAAATTTAAGGTGATTGCAAATTTGCTTTCATTCCACTTCAATGGCTGGCCTGTTTAAGGCTCGTCTGCAAATAATTAGCACATACATTTGCATCAAAATCGTTTATGCCATATGCTGCAAAATTATGGAAAGCAGCAAATTAAAAATATTCTTTTTCTGTTATGGAAATGTCTACATGTGGAGAGGGGGAAGAGGGAGGGGCAGAGGAAGACATCACCATGTGTCTCCAAACACTGACAACAAGGATGAGAGAGAAACGCAGGGAGGGAGGAGGGAGCAAAATGATTCAGTTTGGATTTGAACATACTCAGAGCGGCCTTTTTCAAGAGCGCACCAGATGCTGTTTGAAATCTGCCCACAAAGAGAAACAAAGCACGCGCCATCGCTCCTTTTCCACCGGTCTCTCCATCACATCCACAAATCAGAGAGTTCCAGCTAAGTGGCTGACATGCTCTGCTCATTGGTTCAGTATAGATATTTCCCTAAAGAAACTTAATTTGTGCAGTCCAAACATCCCAATATAGTGCAAACAGAGAGTAAGAATACAGGAGTAAGAGGACTAATGAGCAATATCATTTCTGAGAATATCTGACAGTCAAGGGAGTTGCTTTATATTGCATCCATAAAACATAAAAATCAATAACAAATAAAGGTCTTATCTATCAAGTTCAGAGGTTACTAAGTCCCTTGATAAAAGCATTAGCCTCTCCAGGTAAGCCAATTTCTCCATGGAGATAGAGCGGTTTTATGCTAGACTGTGGAAAAATTATTGCCAAAGGAACAACATTTCAATGCAAACAAACAACAGGCCCTCCATAAGTGAGTCAGGTTTGTAGAGAGATGCAAGCCCGCTCAGAGTAAGCATGCATATTTTCATATTTGCCAGTGTAATAAACAACCAATATGAACAAAAATCATGCTTTTACTTCATAAAATAAAAGCAAAAGCTTAGTTACATACTGTGGCTGTAAATACATGCTCACACAATGCACATAGTTCTTTTAAATATCTGACGGTGAGGCAGTCCCCTGTGCAGATCACTAGTTGTGCCTTGGCCAATTGGCTGCTGTTAAAATCTTATCCAGGTATTATTTAGGCCCGGTGTGAGTGGAGGCCACGTGCCCCCCTCCTGTCTCTATGACTCATAATTATGGCTTTTGAATAGGGCAGTGAGGTAATGGTCCATAAATCCACTTGATCAGCGGCTGCACACAGTCAATTACAGGACACTTGACATGCCCCTGTGCTCCTAAAGAACAAGCCCTGCTGACATTCTTCCACATGTAAAGGGGATTTCTGTGACTGCTACTCTGCAGTTGTTTGGGCCATTTCAATTAGGAGGCTGTATGTCAGGTCTTACAATGTCATAGGGCAGAGAAGTTCAATGAAATGTGATTATGAAGTTACTTTTTCTCTCAGTTATAATGACAAGAGATGAATTTGAGTCAACAGCTTTCATGCAAGAATAATTACATGGTGCTAAAACAAACTAAAACAATAATTTAGAGGTACCTATGGAACATTTCTGTTGGAAGGTCTGCCCAAATCCAGCCAGGTCACAAGAGTCAGATCTGTGGAGGAGACTGAGAGGCAGACCCGCTCACAGTAAGAATACATGTTTCTCAATTTTTCTGTGTTTTTTTTTTTTTTTGTAGTGCTAAATGTCTGTAACTGAGTGAATGCCAGATAAGTTTAATGCCATCATGTGGAATGTGGAACATCCCAGCAGTAAAGTTCTCAAATTACATTGTGCACTTTTAAAATATGGTTTGTCGATTATAAAATGCAATCCACATACCAGATCTGTCAAGTTATGGATCATGACCTGGAAAATAAAACTTGAGGAGGCATTATCTAGATGTTTGTCCTCTTAGTGTTTCCATGTAAGAACAGTGTGACACAAGGGCCTGTTAACATTCTTGCGTGTTAGATGACATCCTGCTTTTTGTACAACAACCCTTTAAACAGGGACAACGCATAGTTAGGAGGTGTTAGTGGGCATTTCCCTTGTGTCTCTACTGTGCACAGAAAGTCCCCTCATGTCTAAGTGCACATTACCTGAGACACATGCTCACAACACTGTCCTGACAAAAGCCAGGAATCAACCATGGTGATGATAATGGGTACTACAACCAAATTTGTTCTGACCGGTAGCATACAAAAATAAACAAGAAGACGTGATGTTGAGAAAAATAAAATATATGCATATCTGTAGATGTCTGAACCTCAGTGGCTCACGTTGAACAAAGGGCAGCACCCTCCTAAATGTGGCGCATTAGGCCTTTGGTTCCTTTGGTTCCTGAGGGGGTAAGGTGACACCCTCCATGTATGTGGTCTGTACAGCACACATCTGTCAGGCCTAAGGGGATGGGCCAAGACGCAGCAACAGAAGCACAGGACTGAGAATAGGGCAGTGTGTGTCTGTGGGACCCCTGCTGTGGCTGAGACCGCTAATTCTCCATATTTACTGTGGAAGAATTAGTGTGTGATCGTATGATGTTGCTAAGCTTGTTCTAGGCAACTGTCTCCCTGCACGTTTATGTCTCATCATCATAAAACATGTACTGTATTGGAAATGGGAACTTAAACAAAACTACATAATCTTTCTTTAACAATATGAATAAAGTGTATAATTGAATTTAAATATATGTATATCATTAATATACTATCATTTGTAGGGGCAGGTCTCCAAAAAGTAAAGTCAAATGAAAAACTTTTGAATAAATTTGACCCGATCCAGGTCAAATTCATGTTTCCAATGATCCAATAAGATCCAATAAGAGTGTTTGTTTTGCCACCAGCCAAGGTTAAAAAGGGGGAAGGCGGAGGTTTTGATGACCCTTACCCCACAGGTCCTATGTGGGTGTCCCTCACATCACCTGCAAACTAACATTTGTAATAAAAAGGAGTTAACTGAAATTGAGAGTATTATTTTTAAACATTATATTTCATTATTAAAATGAATACTTTTCAAGGAAATGATTAGATATCAGCATAAACGATCTGACACCATTCAAACACCTACAATTTGACCCTTTTCACTCAGAAAAATTTAAAGATGCTTTTCATCAGTCAATAATTTGTTGTGTGCAGATTTAATAAGAGTCAAATTAATAATTAAGGTAAACGTTGTCGATGGTGCATGTGTGTGTTTGATATGTAGGCCAAGCAGGAAGTGACCCATAAACACATCTCTGAGGCTCTTTCATTGGGGGCCAGTGAAGCCCCTCCTCTCTCTCTCACCTCCTCATCTTCTCTCACACACTAAGCCCCCAGTGAGCACTAAGCAGGCCAGCGGGCCAGCCGAGGGGGCTCATTACAGGTCCACAGAGCCCCCAACACAAAGGCCTGAGCCGCTTTAGCCACGGGATGATCTGCTCTCTACTGACTAGAGAGAGTCCATAGACGGACAAAAGGAGGGAGCGAGGGAGGCGCTGGAAAAGAGCAGAGCACAGGAGAGCCGCAGGCTTTAAGGATGTCAGGAGACCCCGAGAGAGAAAGGCTGGCGGGCGCTCACAGAGGAGCGGAGGGGAGCAGGAGGAGGAGGTGGCTTAAGCTGCGCGGCTACGTCAGGACATTAGCATTCACACTGCCTCCCAACATCTGCTACTTCCTTCTAGGCCTCTGTCAGTCATCTCTTACAGCCCCATTTGTCCTGTCTACACACAACAACACAACAAAGACGGACAGGCAAAACATACAATTTCACCAACTCCAAGGTCAAATTACAGCATGTTTCTGGTACAGTCATCACAATGATGCACAATATATGATATGTATGTATAACACAAATGTTCAAAAATCTATTTGAGCTTTGATAAATACTATGATAATTACATATTTCTTTACAAATATTTCTCCCTAAAATTATGCAGAAATTCCTATTATTGAAAGCATTTGGCCAAACCACCAAAACGGCAGTGTTATGATGGCTATGATTTTGGGGCACACACAGTCTTGATCAAGTCCTGGAACTGCACTGACCATCTTTGACCAAGCCATAAACTGGTTCTTAAGGAAGAGTCTCGGGAGAGGAAAACCAGAGACATGTCCGGAGCTCAAATCCTCTCGCTCTAGTCTCGAGTCTGGCCCTAAGCCTGTGTCTGCTGCACCCGTCTGGCGTAAAGCACTCAAAGCCATATGCTCAGTTTTATGATGCCTCACCATTAGTACCACATTAGCCTTTTAGTGGTGGCAGCGTGGGTGTCAAACACAAACAGTGCTGCGCTGCTGCACAGAATGACGGCATGGGAAGAGAAATAATAATGTATCATCCAGTACAATCACAATATGAAGAAAGTATGTGAATACAATACCAAATTTCATCATTGTGGGAGAGGTTTACAAAAAGGTAGAAGATATTGAAAAATATGATATTTTAATTGTTTTTTGGAATATTGAAAAAATACAAGAGAAACAGAAAAGACCTGATTAACAATGGAAAGAGCAGAAATGTACAGCATAAACTTTCAATGTATAAAGTATTTTCCGCACTTTTTAGATTTATTTCACCGTCCGTTCAATTTGAGCAAATATTAATGGCTTGCCATAATACTATCTGAATATTGTATTATATGTGAGGACCAGGACATACCTGCGGCTTGTAAAACCAGTTGCATTCGGACCTTGGCCTGTTCAGATGGAGTCTGCAAGAAAAATGCAGACTGTTAATTATACAAATTAGATTTCAATATTCTACTACTTATCCAAGAACAGAAATTTTTATGTTAATGAAAATGAGGAAAATTGTCAGACACAAGAATCAAAGAACCAAACATATTCAACAAAATCATTGTCTAGAGACATTCATTTCAGTATATTAACAATTCTATATTTTATAAAATGACTAGTTTGATTTAAACTGATTTAAAACATAGGGCATGCCATATTATATTAAACAGCTGTAATGCACAATTTCTTAACAATCAACATTTATTATCTCAGAGTGTCACACAAAACAGTAACACATCAAAACGCATCATTGGTGACAGGCCAGACTAAAAGAAGAAAAAAAAAACAAACAAAAAACTCTCAAATATCATCAGCTCTGTAAAAATATACCCTGCTAAACTGTCCTTGTGGAGCAACAGGGGACACTTACTGCGCTAGTTGTGAATTGTCTAAAAACACAAAGTACCAACACATCATCCACACCAGGGAGAATCAATGAGAGAAAGATGAAGAGAAATTTAGCAACAAAGAGAGAGAGAGAGTGGTGAGCAAAGGAAAGCGAAAAACAAAAGCTGCTGTAACAAGTCTACAGAGAGACAGATAAGAGGGCACCGGGAGCACATTTTACAAAGATCACAGCCCATAACTCCTCGTAGTCCCCTATCCTATCAAGTGTGCATGAGAGAGTGCACTACAACTAAGGGGAGGGCCTTTGACAGCTGTATCTTCTGACATGCCCTCAATAGACTCTTGCTGTAATTCCAATATCACTGCTATTAGATTTGAGAGTCTTAATTGTCACGGAAGAATGATGGCTAGGACACGTTGGAGATTTTCAGGGGGACTGGAGGCCCTTGTTGCCATGAAGCGACAAAGAGCGTGCACAGGATTACAGAGAAATTAAATGCTAATGTGGATGGGATCGGAATCAGTTGCCTGGCTGGGAGCATCATTTAGCTGACAGCTCGTTCTCACGCAACTACCACGCACCACCCACAGCAAAAAAAAAAAAAAAAAAGATTTATCAAACTGTAAACTTGTCACTTTATAAAAATGTCACTTTTGCCTGGCAGCTGGGGGAAATATAATGACCCTCTTTAATGTACCAGTGTCAGGAGTTGAAGTCTAGAGAGAGTGTGTGTGTGTGTTCTGTAGCAGGTGACAGTAGATCACAGTCTCGCTCACTGGCTCAGCATGACAGCTGAAATTACTAATCTTCATTATGCCGAGGACGAAGACTGATGCAAAGATAAACGCATTTTTAGTTCACTCTTGTGTCTTAGTTGATAGACACTCCTTAACATTGAAATGCCAAAGAAGAACCTTTCTACAAAAATTAAGTTGGTTCATGTTGATGTTTAGAAAAGTAGGAAAGCAATTAATGTCAATAATATCTCCAATATTTGAGATTTTGACACCCTATGACAGGGGAAAAAGATTCTGGGAATATTCGGACATTTTGCTTAGAATGTAATCTTTGTTCCGTATTCTTTGTTCCCCATCCCCATCCACCAAGTGTTTGCTAGTCTTCCTTAACACTTGCTGAAACTGATAAATATAGAGAGAAGCAGTATTTAACTTAATGCCCTTTAAACTAAAATGTGACCTTATGATATTTTGAATGAATCATCTTGAAAGAAATACATTCAACATGGCTGGATTTACAATACTTTCCTGAGCTGTAATACAATTAGTTATACAAAGCAGTAGCCCATCATGGCATAACCGAGCAGATAATTGTGCATGCTGAGCAATCATCTTAGTTACAGTTTATTACGCCGCCCCCTCACTAATTACATTAGCATTTGTTTACATTGGCCTGGAGGCATGTGTCCGCGCTTCTTCAATGCACACACAGCAGCAAAATTATCCCTGTAACGCAACACTGAGTCACATGGGACTGCAAACTTTTCTGTTTCATCAGGAATAAACTTTTAGTTTGGTCTTCATATGAATCCAATGATACAATCAACTACTGTGCCTCTCGTCGTTTGAAACATTCAGACTACCATTCCAACTGAGGTGCAAATACAGGGAAATCAAACAGAAATGAGTGGGGTTCTCTGAGGCTGTAGGACTAAATAAAAGCTTAAACAGGCTAATTAATATCTAATTATCATCAAAAACACAAGTCAGACTGCAAATATGCAATTAACACACAGGAGCTAGAAACAATTAAATGCACAAAAACACACATTTAGCTCCTTCCAGACAAACCATCTATTTTTGTCTCTAAATCAACCATATACGGTTCTTTGAGCTGTGTCTAATTCATTAGTAAACAATAAAAGGGTGGTAATTGTGCTCCCTAGAGGTAGATCTATGTTCCCCCGCTGAGAGAGAGGCCCCCACTGCATCTGAAGAACCTTCTCCCCTCAATTAGAAACATAATGTTCACAAATAAATAAAGAACAAAGGCAGTCAGAGAGAGCTGAGAAGGACTGAGGAGTTGTGTTTTCTCCATCTACAAGTAATCACACAGAGACTAAAGGAGCAGAGGACACAAGGAGACAATACACAGATGGAAAGATGCTCTCCATTTCCTCTGATTTCTGACAAAGAGCACAAGAGTGGTAAAGTCTTAACTGTAGCCCAAACAAAAAAAGTGAAAAAGGCAACAAAAGTTACTATTCAATTAGCACAACAGTGAATCAATTCACTGTTGTGAATTCAAGACAGATATTTGAATAGAAATACAAAGTGCTATAGTGGCAGTAGTCTAACATCAGCAAATATGCAGTGAATTATATTATTATAATTATATCAAGTGTCTTTTTGTGCTAGCAATGTTCTGCCTAAGACATAGACATAAATTACTGGTTACCCAAGATAAACTATTGTTTCAAAGCCCAATGTTTGGGAATCAGTGTGCAAGTAGTACTTGCAGCTTGACATGAGCATTTTTTGTATGAGAAATATACTTGCTTGCTGTATACTAAATTACTACCTTGAAACTACCTTATTTCAAACGTCTCTCAAAACTTTCAAAAACTGCCACCACTATAGCATCATTGAGCATAACATTAATCCTAATTGCTCTGACGCAACCATTATTTACTGTCAATAAAGCATTTCAATATGTGAACTCATGGCACCCACCTCGCCTAACTCTCTTTATATGCCCCAATATTCATCTCATTATGTTCTTAAAGTCTTCATCTGTTTCCATTTTCTTTCATTTGTTGCATTTCACTCAGCCTTGCTCTGCATTTCCTCCTTGCGCTCCCTCCCAACTCCTAAACAACTGCGCTGCTATACCCCATACCCAAAAGAGGACAGAGGAAAACAGAGCCCCTCCAAAATGTAATATTTCTGTTTTTAATATCGAGGTCTATAAGATCAGGGCAGAGATGGGTTCCATGGCAATATGTTTATTTATATATTTTATGAGAAGCAGGGAAAAAAAATCTGCCTATCAGTGTATGCATTTAGGGAGGGGTCTGAGCCTCTGCATTGGAGCTCATCTTATATGAAAAATAATGTTGTGTATGGCTATACTTTTATATATAATGGCAATATGGGATCAGGGCTTCTTTTTACAATGCGCCATACTTCAGGCTAGGGCTAACAGCATTTTATGGCCCGCCAGCAGTTCATCTTCATGTCTCGGGCAGGCAGGAGCACTGCATAATAATGTCGTTTCCTGCCCCCAAATGCTATTTCACAGGCCGCGGCTCATTTCTCAAACTTCACCACTTTTACAATTTCCCAAACTTTTATTCCCGTCATTATTACCAACAAGATTTCATTACGTATTTAGAATGTAAACAAGTCTGAGTAATGACACTCCCCCGTCTCCCCGGAATCATTCCTGCTGATGGCTCGGCAGCCGCTGCTATCTACGATGCGCAAAATTTATCCGTACACACAAAAAGCCCACACACAAGCCACCATACATTTAAACTGCTACTCCCATCCATTTATTCACTGGTGTGTGGATGTGCTTGCATGTATGTGCTGCCGATAAAGGGGATGGCAGTGGTGATGGCAGCGGTGGTGGGGTGTAGTTTTATACTCAACTCACATAAATCATGTAGAAGAAAAATGAGCAAATGTGCAGGCTAACTCATCTTCTCCCCATCCGGAGAAAATGAAATTCACTGGAATACCTATCAAAACTGCAATCATCCCGAGATAATATCTTCTTTGGTCTATCTGCACTTTCCGATTTAATTTCCTCCATGCCCTTGACATCCAGAGATGCCATTAAGATGAAGCACATACAGTAAAGCCACTAGTTCTTGCCTATTGATATATGAAAATTGCTGTTCTTAATGTCATTTCATCATTTGGAAATTAATGCGATCTTTCTTTTGTTTGTATGGGTACATTATGGTCAATTGGGCATAAGTCCATGGGCAATTACCCATAGTGCAAAAATATTTGATATGCGAGAGGCTCCATTTGTGAGATTCTCTCCCTTCTCTTCCACAACAGAATGACATGCAATTATGTCTGGGCCTGCCCCGTGTCAGAGGTCACTCAAATTACTCCATCATTTAGCCTGCGCCGTTGAGATGAGAGAGAGAGAGAGAGAGAGAGAGAGAGAGAGAGAGAGAGAGAGAGAGAGAGAGAGAGAGAGCCATCCCCCCTTCCTATATCTACAGCCATGCCCCCACCAGCACCAAACCCTGCTGCTACATCAAATATCATGCAATCATTAGTGTAATAAGCATGGAAATGTGTTTGCAGATTATCAACACCCCATCCCCTCTGTGTTATCGCGACGGAATCTCTTTGCATGTGCCGCTGTAGCCTTATCTGGTCTAATCTTATTGGAGGACAGGATAGACACCAAAATACAAAGGACAGACCAGATAAGAGGCAAGTGTTTAATGAGTTAATTTAACAAAATGGAATAAAGATGGATAAAGAACAGAAGCAATTACATCAAATTCGGAGTGCTTAACTTGGGTGAACTTTTAATTTATTTTATGTTGAGGACAAGGAGTTGCAGAGGAGTTGAAAGTGTTACGACCTCAGCTGCTGCCTCCTATCTATCAATAGAGCACCCACTGTTTAACCTAAACTCTTCAACCCACAGAGGGACATGTGAAGAAAGCCATTTTTAAAGCAAATGGGGGCTGTATACTTTTCCCAAGCATGGCATAAACGTACAAGCTTGATCTTTGTAAACAGTTCAAATTGGAAACTACAAAACAGAAAAACAGCTCTAGCTTTGTAGTCCCTGTAACGAGTTGCAATGTAATTATGTTGCTTGCAGGCATATTTTGCAATGACATTTTGGCTTTTCTTTTAAATAAATAGATATACATACAGTAAATGAATAAAACATAAGAAATACATCAGGATAACATTTAAATGAACATCATCTGTACCATATTTTATTTGCAGATTTAACTTATTTATATAATATGAAGAATTATAGAAAAACTATTTAGCATTGTATATGGTTTAATAACTGTATATATAATTTGTTTCTGAGAGCATGACCTTAGGTGAACCTACAACCTTGGAGTGAACTGAATCCCATGGACCACCATCATGTCTTCACCATCCACCTCTCCACTAAACTAATGAAGCCTCATTCACTCTCTCCTCAGTTCCTATCCATCCCCTGCTCTGTGCGGACGGTAAAACAGTAACTACAGCTGCTGATTGAGCCTGTAATCCTAGAGAAGAGGCCGGTTCTTCTCTTATTGATCGGACTCCTGGCTTTCCTCTACCTCACTCTGAAGCCACGTATTTGCAGTGAACCATCTGCCGCTGTAGGCCAGATCTTCCACTCCACTCTCCCAACAGAAACAACTAGTGATGCCAGAAATGAGATGCTTCAGTGTTATTGTGTGTATTGCTTGTAGAAAAAAGAAAGTAACTCAGAGCCCTGGGAGCAATTAACTTCAGTTTCCCTCTCGCTTTGCAACAGATCATGTTCAGACAATCTGCTGCTAAATGTGAAAAACAAAACAAACATGAACAATAAAAGCAGCCTTAGAGCACATAATGAAGCTGACATCTCCACTGGCCCACTAATTATGTCAGAGCCAGCAGCTTCTGTGGTTAACTTCATCAGGAAAAATCAAACAGACACACAACCTTCACAGTTAAAAACATTTACATATTAACAACATAATAATGTGCATATTAGGAAGAGAACCTAGAAATACATAACAATCAATGTTCTTCACAATGTAGGCTTTGTATTTCAAATTCAGCAAGATGTCAACTTGAGCTTCCTAACCATTTCAAATTAGCTTAAGGTCTGGAGTATTACAGGATTAAAATAACTATAGTTCATTAAATATTAATGCACGGCTGTAAAAATAAATAAATACAAACCAGGAACAACCCATATAATTATGTAATCAAAGCACTGTTGAGTTTTGTTTCTTTTCTAAATTTCTTTTCTCCAACTTTTTCCTAACAGTTTACAGCCCTGCCGTCTGAAAGCAAAATACAACCTGTGCTTTGCAATATCACAGAAATATCAATATGGTTGATGCAGTAAAAACGGTACATCAACTGACACTGATGCTCACAAGCCTACTGGGATGTGCTCGTGAGCTACAGAAAGAAACAACATTCACAACAGCTCCACTTCAGCGCTAGGAGTCAGGAGCAGTGATTTACACACCCAGATCCCTAGTTGTAATAAGAGTTTTGCACGCCACAGGTGGTTGAAGACTGGGACGCAATCTCCCCATAAGCATAAACAAAACCATAAATTCAAACGCTCGGGATTTAGATATCACAATAACCCCAACATGCCATCTCCACCAGATATCACTCCAAATGTTTGGAGATGACATGTGCGGGAGGAAATATGTGCATGAGTCATTAATATGTGAAATCTGAAAATGTTAATATAGGACATATAAAGCAGTGCAGTTTGATTATAACTTGGGCATCAGTTTTATTGATACACACTCAATATAGAACAAAATGACTCAATTTCACAGAGCAGGTTAAACTAACCTAGAGTTTAAATCCTGATTCAGAGTTACCCTACTACGTTACTGTTTCAGAAACAGGTTTGGAGAGTAGGAGAGGGTTTGGAGAGTGAACAGAGTTTGTCCAAGCCATGATCAATGGATCAAAGAAAAGAGGATACACCATGTCAACAGTAAACAAGAGGCAGCTTCAAATTCCATTTTAGAGGGACAAGAAGTAATGTCACTGTGGACAGGTTAAACTCAGGTGCATTAAAACACCAATATGTATTGTTTTTACACTTGCACTTTTGTAGCTTATCAAGTACTTGTTAAGCATTTTAAGATTTCTCTTTTGGGACAATCGTAAAATACATTGTACATTGTAAATAATGCGTATGAGACTGTGTGGCATTTAACAACTTCATGGTAATTTCAGTCAATTATGCATAACTTAAGGTGACATTATTACCTTCAAATAATCATACTTCCATACTTCTATGAAAGTATAGCATAACATTTGGTTGCTTTGTATAGCACTCTAAAGCTAAAGAGCCTGTATAAGTTTGCTTACTTTGCTTCAAACAACTCAACTTGCCTCTACTGCCTAATGTTTGCCTACAATATAAATGCCAATACACACATTGATTAATGCTGTTTATGCATGTAATCCTCTGCTGAATAATTCACACTACTTTTTATAGAGTACAGCATCAATCACAGACACAGACGCTCCCATCCGCTCCTCTCCATCAAGAAGCTGCCATGACATTAAAAAAAAAAAAAACTTGATATGAAAACGTGTGACATTCTTCAGGCAATGGTAAGAAGGACATAGAGTTAAAGGGTTTTGAAAAGTACATTACAGGGTGATTTTGCATTACTTATCTGAGTAGTTATAGCAGAAAAATTCTAAAGAATTAAAACTTCACTTTATTTTTCCTTTGTATTAAGACATATGCGTGTTCATCCGTTTTCTGTTCTGAGTTTCACGGTCAGTCTGCTGTGTGTCACATGCGGGTCATTTGTGTGGTGCTGTTTAGTATGCAGTGAGGTAAGGGAGAGAGGTCATGTGACAGCCACCCAGAGCCGGGACCCTCAGTGACCCCTGTCTATAATTTATCTCCTGGAAAATGGGGCATATCAAACCCTAGTGTGGCTGCACCCAAAAAGAGGAGACAGAACCTCTTCTCTGTGTTGCATGGTACTCTGACCCTGGATTAAAGCATGTATAGTGCAGAAGCCTCTGGATACGTCACATATTAAATTCTTAAGGTGTCCCAAGAGGGGGTTTGTCAGAGGGACCTTTACTCAGAGATGTGAGAACAGTGGGAAAAAGCCCCATGCTGGTGCTTGGCGATTATACTACTCCTGCACACGCACACACGCGCACGCACACGCACGCACACACACACAAATACTGGGTAGCAATGCTGAATAGCACTGTTTTCATGCAAGTTTTTTGTTGCCTAGAAATGGTTAAAATGAGTGGCAGTACTATTCGTAGACTGACAAGGGAAGAAATAAGAAAAAACAAAGTCTGGATATTAAAATAGTTTTGATGCGTTTTAATGCACATTAGGAATGGAATAGGATCTTGTGCCATAAGATTGCCAATAATAATCCATTGGCGTTATATAGAGCTTTTTTGGACACTCAAAGACACTTGTGAGAATTTTTCTATGGGGCATGAACAAATCTGGGTTAAGGTGAGTTACAGTTCTTTGAGTGGCTGTGCTACAATTCTGGCAAAAATATACAATCAAAATAGATCAAAAAGTGAACCGAGAAAATTATATCAAAATAATAATAATAATAATAATATAATAATAATTATTAATTATTATTATTATTATTATTATTATTATTATTATTATTATTATTATTATTATTATTAATTAATAATAATAATAATAATAATAATAATAATAATAATAATAATAATAATGTTATTATTATTATTATTAGATGTCTGCTAAACAGTTAAGAAGGCCAGTTTAACACATGCATAAAATAATGATATTTTCCTATTGTTCCAGCTATAAACAGAAGTACAGTTGTGAATGATGTGTGATTATGGAGAGTTAGGAAAGGAGGAGGCCTTGAGGAGCCTCCAACTGCAGGTGTTTAGCTCCATTGCACAGGGTTTACTAGCAATGTTGATATCAAAGTCTGAGTTGGCGTGCACATGTGCATCTATGTTAATGAAGAATAAAGAAGAAGGGATTGTCAGACAGAACGTACCAGATGTTCCAGTCCTTTGGATTTGATGCTCCCAGGGTCTCTGAAACACAAAAACACATTTCCTTCAATTCAAATAAAGTGCTGACACAATAACATTTAAGAAAAGGTTGATTTTAGCAGAGGCACAGCCACAAAGCTCAGAAATTTAACAAAGTCATGAAAAATGTGTGAATCATTTTTAGATATGTAATCACACACAAGTCAGAAAGTAATATTATTTCCACTGAACAATATAGCAATTATAATGCATGAAGAAATTTTACTTCAGTCAAAAGAATTACTTTAATTATTGTTTACATTTCACTTAAATGTGTGATGTGTTGGTGTTTGTGCACAACAGACTGAGGTTAACTACATTTGCCACCCCACTGCTTGCAGTCATAATAATAATTTTAAAACTACAGAGACAAAACTGGGAGCTTATTATCTGTGAATTAATAAAAAATGTTTGCATGATTATCTGGGTAGAAATAGAGGAGGGGGGAGAGGGCGGTCTGTTTTAACTGAGCAAATTGGCAGTAAATAATAGATGCAATTTTGGCGCATTTTACATTTGCAGCTCTGGAAATCTGAAGATCAAGAAAACACAAACCCCTAAGCCCCCACCATCTAACTGTGCCCCCCATTACTGACAACTGCAGCCTGTCCAGGGCTGTGCTGTGTCTATGTGTGCAGAGAGAGAGAGAAGCTTATCGACAGGCTTCAGTCGCTAATGCAGCCAGCAGCATCATAGTGTAAATCTACACCATCGCTAAAATTACATACTGTCTAATCCATCCCACTCCAGCGCCCTTCTTCTTCCTACATCCATCCATCTATCCTGCAGACAGGCCGTGTGCAGTGTGACCACAGAGTGAGTCTTCATGTGCTGTCTACATTACACAATAATGCTATAATCACATAACAGCCATAATAAGTATAAACATTTGTACTGTACAGAAAATGCCAATGGAGACAAAAGGTCATAAAGTCCGCAGTGATTTTGTTTGTTTATTGTGTGCTCTGTCAATGAGCCACAGACAAGTCAACCACTTAAGGCAAACTTCATCTAGCTGTAATTACATTACATTGTGACAAACACCCCGCCACATTCATTATACATGATGGGCCCCGGCATCCAGACAGCAAGACATTTGTTACCGTGGTGACAGTGTGTGTAATCCACTAATGAAGCACAATTAGTGAGAAACAATCTAACACAAGGAGCACGTGGTGTCTGAGATCCTCTCCTCCACTCACTTCAGCTTTTTACTTCCCTTTCTCCTTATATTTTTCAAATGTTACTTTCACAACACAAATTAATTATGCATTTAATTTTCCCTTTTAACATCATCAAGAGCGGGCAGTCCTGTAATGTCCACACCGGGGCCAAAGGGATCACTCTATCCATTAGTCGTGCATGGCCAACTTGCACACACACAGCGTTTCACATCCTCATCTCTCCTTTCAAAACATCATATAATCTGCCCAAGTCTTCAGGGACCAAGCATTTCTTCCCTCCTTATCTCCCTTTCCTCTCTCTCCCTTCCTCTGTTCGCTGCGCCTTCAACACAGCATTGATTTCTGAATTACGCCACAATATTAAATAATTAATATACTTGCCATGATTGATGTTTTGCATTAGGCCAATATTAGGTTATCAATCAAAATCCACTTGGTTTAATGTAATAATATTGAAAATGTGTCAGTGCCTGTTCATCCAATTTGTAGTGGAGGCAGGCCAGATAGTAATGGTGGTGTAGCACAAGGCCTCAGAGACACAGTGGCCTGCTTACAACAGCCATAGGAGAGCAGTATGAACAGCCAGAGACACAGCAGGAGGAAGACTAAACTGTTAATCTTACTGTAAAAAAAACATAATTATAATAACAGCTATTGTATTTCAAAATATATAAAATGATTCAGGTTTAAATAAATCTGATTTTTTTTTTTTTTTTTTTTTTTTTTTAAATCAGGCATATAATTTTTTGGCTTCTCTTTTGCAGGTCTTGAATCTGGATTGGGGACCAACCTGTCGAGAGTTGGATTAGAGGAGAGTCAATTGGTAGTGCAGCGCCAACCCTCAGCAGCCCAATATTTTCTCCATAGAGTGAAATAAAAAGAAACTGCTCATGTTCACCGACAGGGCGCCTGCAGCTTTCAAAAAGGTTGGAACTTGAGGAGATTATTATTATAAACTTCTCAGTTCTCAGTTCAATATCCCTCAGAATCAGAATTACTTTTATTCATCCCCAAGGGGAAATTCCTTTTGTTACAGACATGCCGACCAGCAGAAGAAATAGTGTTACAGTGCATGATCGGTGGGCCACACTTGCTAACAACCTAAGCAGCTACAATTGGCTACATAAAATTGGCCACAATTGAGCACAGATCCTTTTTCTCTCACCTCTATAGTCTGATCTGTATCCTCTCAGTCATGTTCAACAACACTGCTGTACATTAGCCACAGACAAGTAAGAGTAATGGTCTGTTGTTCAAAGAAAACAAATCATTTAACTAATCACATCTAGTCAATACCATCCAACTAAAACAGCTCCATTGCTCTTTTTAACAGACACACCTCTCCATGTTTCTCTCCCAAACCTCTTTTACCCATTCCTTTTGTATGTGCCTTTTGTTTTATACAAAGATCCCTAAACTGTTGCTGTCTCTTACCTCATCCCATTCTCTGTATTTTTCTCTCTCCAAATGACCCACAATGCCAGTCTGCCCCCACTACCCCCCACCCGCCCTCTCGCACTCACTCCCACCTTCCCAAATCCAGCCTGCGCTCATGGACAATTAATTACCGCGGTGGTGCCAGATGAGTTGTCATTTGTGGTCAGGTTTCTGATAATTACGTTAGGTCTTCAGGTGCCTCTCGGATGCCCTTCTTTTCCCCCTGGTGTGCTCTCCCTTTTCTTATTCTTCCTCCCTTTACTTGATCCCCCCCACCTCTTTGACATGGCAGAGATGAATATCTTCAGTCAGTGAATGGAGGCGACACAGGGACTTAAAATGCAGAGGCAGTCATTTGATTTCCAGCTAACAGAGGTGCCCATTAGCCCAGCACTCATCAGCCATGCATTACCTCTTGGGCAGAGCACGATCCTATGTGAACACGCACTTTAACCCTTTGACTCAACACTGGCCATTTCGACTTGATCAAACTATTGAGCATATCTTAATGTCTATGGGTCACAAACTCACGTCAATAAATACGTATCATCACTGGATCTATATGAAAACTAAAGCACTGAGCGTTTTCCCCCTGAATTTAAGTTTGAAATTTTAATATTGTGACAGGAGTACAACCAACTAGCCCTGTCATGATAACATATTAATATGCGCGATATTGATGAACTACTGTAAATACAGACGAGATTATTCAATTTATGCCACTGACACAAACCCTAAGGCAGATTAATACCACAAAACCTATCCTAAATCTACAATATTGTCAAAAAATCTTGAACTGCAATCAATAAACAGCAGAATGAAACACTTTAGTACTACTCTGCATCTATAATGAGTCATAGAAATCAGTAATTCAACCTGTCTCAAATCTTATCATATAGCCAAAAAACAACCAAAAATCCCCAGTTGTGCAAAGAAAATGTACACACGATAAATACTGACCACAAAAAAGTCTTGTTCTAATTATCCTGACAGGCCTACAGTCAATAACAATCAATCAATATATCTCACTAATGCATTTTCTAGATATTTTTGTATGAATAACAATAAAACCAACAGACTATTTTAAGAGTGAAGAGCAGAGGGAACTACATTCTCCTCAGTCGCCTTGTTAAGCGTGTCACAGAGCATTCATATGTTGTTTGACTGCTAGATAGAATGGCAGGCATATTTATTAAAGAGTCAATGTGATGAGGACCTCTCATTGTCACATATCAGGTACACAAAATACACAACCTGCATCACTGACATGCAACTGTTACGCTGTTTAATAGAAGGCAAAGCTTGATATTCGCACAATAGTTTAGTCTAGTCTTCCCCAATAGGCCCGATCGCCATTTCCACAGCTCTGTACTAACAACACTGCCAATTGAAAGCATATTACGATGTGTAGAGGAGGAGAGGAGGAGTGTTGGGGCGTCAAAGGGGGGGGGGCAACATAGACTAGGTCAATGCATTTTATGTAACTGCAAACGTACATGAACACAACTATTACACAAACTGCCAGTCTTTTCAAGAGTAGGAGTGTGGGGTGGGGGATATGTTAGTATAATCCGAAAATGGAGGGGAAAAGCCATCCATTAAAACGAATTCAGCACTTTATGTTTCTCTCAGGGAGGGTTAAGTGCAGTCAATAAAATATCAGAACCTACAGGACAACAGTGATTTTTCACAGGCCTTTTCATAAAAGGAACTCTCACAGAAGGTACTTAGAAAACTTCAGTATTTTGTAGTAGTTATTTAAAAGCTCACTAATGTTGCAATAGTTATATTTGATGAAACGTTGGGCTGTAGCCTTTGTCATTTAATTAATTAAATCGATCAGTGGTGTCTTAGTTGACCCAATTTTTCATTGGTAGACTTTTTAATTAAAGGGACAGTTCAGAATTTTGGACATAGGGCCTCATTTCCTAGTGAGCCAGAGTGTTGGAGATGTGTGGGGACATTGTTTTTAAATATTCCATCCAGTCCTTGTATTTGCAGAGGTCGCTGGTGCTATGCTAGTTAGCCTGCCACTAAAAACAGGCTTCCCACTTCACAAAGCATCCAAAGCAAATCTATTATTACACCAGACTGTTGATGTAAATGTCTGTGTCGACAGAATCATTTTAGAAGTAAAACCAACACTGCATTTGCAGGATTTATGTCTGAGCAGCAGCAGTGAGTTGATAGAAAGCTTGGCAGTGGTGGACTGATATATGAAAAAATAGTCCCTCAACATGAGACAATTCATGCGATGCAAGGTTAGTTTTATTTCAAACATTATTCTATCAACACATACATTAGATAATAATAGTTTTGCCTCAGGTGCTTTGTGGAGTGGGTAAGACTGTTTTTAGTGGCAGGCTAACTATGGCCATTGAC